TTTGAGTTTTTTTTCAAACCGATCAAAATGGTTGGTTTAGGTTTGAGTTTTTCTCAAACCGGTCAAAACGGTTTGGTTTGAAAATTTGTCAAAAATCGCAAAAATCGGACCGCTTACACCCTTAGTTCCAAGGCTTTTAGATAAACTCTTTAGATAAAGGGTTTGTAACATGAGTTTATCTACTTGTAGATAATTTGGTGTACATCAAGTTATCCACCCTCTCACATGAGGGTGGGACCCACTTGAATAAAAAATATTTTTTCCAAGCGGGCCCCACCCCCATGTGAGGGGGTGGATACCTTGATGTACACCAAATTATGTTTAAGTAACAAGACTCTTGTAACATATTGCATAGTGTTTGGCATGGTCGGATAAGGTTGCAAAATATTTAATTTCATTACATCTGTAGGTGTAGGATTTATCAAAAGAAGTGGCGAGTTCCAAGACCATTAGGAATAAGGTTTAGTTTGTTGTCTCTGAGGTGGGAAGCCTCTAAATTTACGTGTATACAAATGTGAATAATGATCCTAGTTCCAACATTTATTGTGGTTTATACAGTTTTGATAGTGTTCTTGTCTTGAAGACAGACGAAAACGTGACTAACATTTTTAAGATAGTGATTCTGGATCGTATTTGCTTTATAACTTCAATTTAAATTTTCAGGTCAGGACTATGTGACCCAAAACCATCACCCATTGGCTATTTGAAGAACGAGCATATCTGTGGAAGGCCATTGGGTCTAAGATTCGACAAAAGAACTGGTGATTTGTATATTGCAGATGCATATTTGGGGTTGATGAAAGTTGGGCCTGAAGGTGGTTTAGCCACGTCCCTGGCAACTGAGGCCGAAGGAATTCCTCTTGGATTTACAAATGACTTGGACATTGACGATGAAGGGAACATCTATTTTACCGATAGCAGCACCAAATTCCAAAGAAGGTAGCTTAAGAATTTACATGTTTGGCTAAGCTTAAAAAAGGAAAGTACGTTACATGTTTTCACACATGTTTGGATAAGTTATCTTTTCCTTAACTTCAACTGAACAAAAAAAAAGTTACTTTGCTTAAAATAACTCTTACCTATTAGTTTGTTGTCAATAAGCAAAGTGTCTTGCTGCTGACGAAGTGTTGTTTTTATTTTATTTGTGAGTTTTGTGGGTCGACCAGAAGGAAGAGTAGAGAAGAAAACCAGTTATAAGTACTTTCAACTGTATTTCTGCACGCGATGCTACATGCATAGTCGGAATCTATAGTTCTCACATGGCACTTGTTTCAGGAACTTCATGCAGTTAGTTTTTTCTGGAGAAGATAGTGGGAGAGTGCTGAAGTACAATCCCGAGACAAAAGAAACTACTATTCTTGTTCGGAATCTCCAGTTTCCAAATGGTGTGTCCCTAAGTAAAGACGGATCGTTTCTTGTGTTCTGTGAGGGTTCAATTGGCAGGTACTCGTATATCTTTAATACAAACGTTGCGCATGGAATTCTTACCCCCTCCTCCCACCCTCTTCATCAAGGAGAAAATAAGTAAAAAGAAGAAAACCTTCAGATTTCCATCAATTCTGTAATTTATGAATACGTCTCAAGTGGCAAGAAATGTGTTTTTGAATTACTCGTTTTAGGAGGTTCTGTTTATAGTAACATACTAACAGACAATGCCTTGAACAATAGGTTCTATTTCGATGAGGCTCTTCACAAGCTCAAATGGAAAGGAAACGATAGTTTTCTGTTATTATAGTAGTAAAATTTGCTGCAAAGATTGTTTATCTAGATAATAGCATTTGATAACATGGACAATAATACAAAAGAAGAAAAAAAGAAGCTAAAATCTGATTTTTTACACTCACGAGTCATGTCCAATACTGTGTATAAAATATGCACTAACTGTATTAAAATATATGTCCGCTAATTATGTAGGTTGCGGAAGTATTGGTTGAAAGGTGAAAAGGCTGGCACCTCCGAAACAATGGCTGTGTTGCCTGGATTCCCCGATAATGTAAGAACAAATGAAAAGGGTGAATTCTGGGTTGCAATCCATTGTCGTCGATCCCTATACGCTTATTTATCCTCTCTATACCCGAAAGCCCGGAAATTCTCGCTAAAGCTTCCGATAGCTGCAAAGATCCATTATCTCATGCAAATCGGGGGGCGCCCTCATGCCGTGGTCGTGAAGTATAGTTCAGAAGGTAAGCTTTTAAAGATTTTGGAGGACAGGCAAGGGAAAGTTGTTAAAGCAGTAAGTGAAGTGGAGGAGAAGAATGGGAAGCTTTGGATGGGGAGTGTTTTGATGCCATTTATTGCAGTTTATGAATTAGACTAAGTATTTTAGATTATAAGACTTTATGCTCTTAATTTCTTATTTTAGGGGGAAATCTCATATGCTTTTTGCAGTTAATTTTCCACACTTTTCTTGAACTTGGGGTAGGGGTACTTGAATGAGTCCCTCGTGAATGTAATGAAAAACTATTGTGGTATGTGTAATGTCAAGAATTCCATTTAATTTATCCGCAAATGTTTTGTTCAGTATGTTAGACTGAATAACATTAAGCTCCTACTTGTCTACTGTCATTCTCCAAAAAATTATTTTTTCTAAAACTCATTTTCAAAATAAAATATTTTGTATGTAAATCAAGTTTTTGCACTTTTTCTTTTTACTTATTTGCGGTACTTACGAGTCCCTTGTATATGTAATGAAAAACTATGGTAATATGTTGTCAAGAATTTTTGTGTGCACCCTTTTCTTTTATTAGTTTTTGGCTTTCCTGTAGTGAAATAGATTCACCTTATGGAGAAATATATCACAGCGTGCGTAATTTCAAGAGTTGTCTAATTTTATCTGTATATGATTTGTTTGGTACACAGCTAAATGAGATTAAAGAGCATATGCAGTAAAACTAGTAAGATAGACACGTAAGGAAAAAATTCATAAATAAGGTGTATACTTTACATCAATTCAAAAATCAAGTTTTTTTAATTTTTATTTATGAAATAATAAATTATTAAATCAATTTATTATTAAATATATAATATAATTAATCCATCCCACATGCATCACCCATACCGCTTCGGGAACTATTCTGGCGATCATTTCGACCACCACTCTTCTCCGGCTACTATTTTGACAATTGTTCCGGCGACTGCTCAGATTCCGGCGACTATTCCGATGACCATTCTGGTCACAGATTTACAATTTACGATCACAGTTCAAAATTTTTGTAGGTCACAATTAAAATGTTGGTCACTGATTTCAAAATTAGTTGGTCACATATCAAAATTTATAGGTCACACAGTCACAGATTTCCAAATTAATTGGTCACAGATTTTTTTACGGCCACAGATTATATAATTTTTATGTCATAGATAAAAAAAAAAAGTTGGTCATATATTATATTTTTAGTTACAGATTACCGAATTTTAAGGTCACGGATTATATTTTTAGTCACAAAACCAAAATCACCAGATCCTCCTCCTGCACCACCGTCAACTGCCACCACCATTATCAACCCACCAAACAAAGCCTCCACCCAATACACTGCCAATAAAAATCATCACAACCACAAGTGCCATCACCGCCACCGATGCACAAAAACAATGTCAAACCCACCGTCGAGGCTCTGCACAACGATTATGTGACCATCCCGTGACCACCACCGACCTCTGTGACCACCCTGTGATGTTCACCGCCGACGACAGCCGTCGTCGAAACCAACAGCACCACCACCTCGTCGCGGCAACCAATATCACAAACGCCCACCAACAAAACACAAAAAAACCACCACCGAAGCCGTCGCCACCTCCACAATCAAACCGCCACCTCACCACCAACACCACAAAAACCATCACAACCACCACCACTTGCACCACCAACCACAACCACCTAAACCCCCCACCCAAACACCACCATAAACACAGTAGATCCACAAACACCACATCCGTGAGACGGCGACGACGATGACGATCTGCTGCTCTCGCGAACTGAGTGTCGCGACTCAGTTCTAATGTGACGACGGCGATCTGCTGCTCGCGCGAACAGAGCGTCGCAACTCAGTTCAGGTGCGACGACGACACTTTCATGAGAGAAGACGAGATGAGGGATGAAGAGAGAGAGAGAGAGCGGCGGCAAGAGGAGCGCTGTTGTAGCCGCTTCTTGTGACGGTAGCTCTGACTGAGGGAGGCGACTTGGCTGGAAATGTTGAGAGAGAGAGAGAGGACGGCATGAGAAATGTTGAGAGAGAGAAAATATGAATTGAAGATGAATTAGGGTTTGAAAAATTAGTATTATAATATTATTTAAATATTTAATTCATACATGATTTTTTATTAGATAAACCTTGGACCTGAATTTTGAATTTGAAAGTTTAAACCATTAGTTTTTTTGTAATTTCCTCTTCATTCTTTCCACCCAAATTTCACTCTTACTATCAAACGGGCCCGTAATGGTACAAGTGGTTTTGCACAGAAAATTTTCTCGTTTTATTAAAAATCATATTTACCTATTCTAAACAAAAATTTTACCACCAGAAAATCCTCAGTGTGTGTACAAAGGTTGAATTGTTTGCCAAATGATGTGGTTTCCCAATTAGGGCAAGTAAAAAAATATAATCTGAAGTAAAAAATTCAGAAAATTAAATCACAGAAATTGGAAAAAAAAAAAACAAAGAGAGAGCAACGTGCTTACACACTGTGGTCCAGTACAAGGTACTATACCATAGACTCGTAGCAGCAGATCAAGACACCATCTCACCATCATCATATACAAATCACACGTCCCAACAGTACGTAAATTCCACAGTCGAAATCAAGAAATAGAGAGAATTTTTTATAGAAATCTAAATCATTAAAGACACCCAAATCAAGAATTTATATTTTAGAATTAGTATATAAGAATGAGCGAAACCCAGGACCAAAAATCGTTCTTCAAGCGACACTGGGAAGGGTACAAGGAGTTCTGGGCTGAAAGATTTTCGTTTTTGGAGAACTACTCGAGAGTTCTTAACCCAGAGAAGCCAATGCCCCACTGGGATAGCTCTATTGTGGAAGAGTTTATTGCCTCCGATCCCGTTTATGGTCCCACTGTATGAACCTCAATCTATCTCCGATTTTTGTATATATGATTATACAAATGGATGCGTTAATATCTGATTATGTAGGTGTAATTTCTTTGTTGTATTGTTATTGGATTTGATGGAACTGGGCTTCTGAAAATATCTATCTCATTCACCTAGCTCGTCCCCCTTCCTGTGTGCCTTTAGCACTGTATGTATATGTGTGTATTTTATGTGTCCTTTGTTATTAATTCATTAAAGTGATATTGTTTTCCTTATTTCTTTGTGTAAGGTCTTTTCGATTTGTGCTGTGTGATTGGATTACTTGGTTTTTTGCTTAATTTTTATGGGATGTTAATCATACTAGTTAACTGAGACTCCCAGTTTGTACACCATGAGAAAAGACTATTTCCTCTTTATGTTCAATGTTTGAAATTCATAGACGAGAACTTCAAACAATATTGATTACTTAGTTAGTGATGCTCCGTATGAGGGAAATGCATTTGGGAGGTTAGAAATGGGTGAACTTGAGAAAGAAATGAAGAAATTGGATAATATGCTCGGTGTGTCCAGGAAAGAGGGTGGCATTGAAATCTTGGTTCTTTATCCTGATTCTATTCTCATGTCTGATAAAAGCATTGAGCAATGCAGTGGAATTCAAAATGGCTAAACAAACAAATCATACTGTCATGCCTAAACTTGCCTACATCAGGGCTTTGGATGATGGAAATAATGGGATGGGGCTGCAGGGTAGTTGGAAGGGATAGAAAATGGAATTTGGAGTCCTGAGGTAGTGAAGAGAGCAATGTATGTGATTGTGTGGATCAGGGGCAGCCCAGGAGTTGCTGGAGAAGTTGGGAAGGATTATGGTTACCATATGAGTGGTGGCTTGGTAGAAAATAGGGTATGGGCAGACATTGTCATTTCTTAGAATATTGGAGCTTATTTTCCAGTGTTATGAAAACTGGATCGGTCTGACTTGGAAAATGGGGTACCAGACCAATGGTCTGGTCCAATTTTTGCTTCAAAACCGCGTTATTAGAAACCGGTATAAATCCAGGAAAAATGGATGGTTCAACTGAGAACCATGCCGAGTCTTCCGGTTGCTTTTGTTAAAAAAAACAAAAAAAGAAGAATCTGCTGATTGTTCATGCCACTTCTCCCATTTACCTTATGCTCACTGACATAGTAGCCACAAATATAAAAGAAGAAACATGAAAATTTGAAGGAAGGATTAAAGCACAGAAGCAACAAGTTCTCTTGGTCTCTTATGATGGCAGGGATATATTGGGGTGGATTAATATGTAGGGTTCGGATAATAGCTTTATTTGGGCTCATTTAGATTTTATTTAATAGGCCATTTTGTTTTGGGAAATTATAAAAAATCAGGTGTTTAAAGATTGGTTTTTAAAAATCAGGTCCAAAATTTATTTATTCAAAAATCAGATATTTTATTTTAAATATTAAACACTAATTGTACAATTTTCATCTCAAACCATAATCAATTTCGTTCCAATTTTCCTCATACTTCTCTATTCTCTCTGTCACTCTCTCTTCTCACCGTCACTCTTTCTTCTCCACTCTCCTCCCTCTCCGCCGACAGCCCAGCCTCCACGAGACAGAGGGAGCAACTCTTAAGCTTGTGTCGAACGACAGCGACAAGACTAGGAGAAATTTTCAGTTGCTCCTTTAGAGAATAATGGTGTTCATAAGCTTTCAATGTCTAGGCTCTCTCTGCGGAGTTATTCGCAAAGGAAGAAATCTTCAGATTCAATCTCTACAGATCCACACAAGAAAAGATGTCATCGACATTCAGCAGCGATGAAACGACACCGTTCTTTGGCTTCCTAGGCGCCGCGGCTGCCCTAGTTTTTTCTTGTATGGGTGCGACATGTGGCACGGGGAAGAGTAGCGTCGGTGTGGAATCTATGGGTGTGATGCGATCGGAGCTGGTGATGAAATCGATAGTTCCAGTTGTTATGGTTGGTGTTTTGGGTATTTATGGATTGATTATTGCTGTCATCATCAATACTGGAATCAACCCAAAGGCCAAGTCATACTATTGTTTGATGGCTATGCTCACCTTTCTTCTGGCTTCGCTTGTGGCCTTGCTGGCCTTTCTGCTAAGCCAATGCACAACAGCCAAAGCTCTTTGTTGGAATGATTCTTATTTTCATTTTGCTAAAGCACTAGCTCTTTATGGTCTTAATTTTTGCAGGCCTTTTTTGGTGCATCAAAGTCTNAAAATAATCTGTGACCAATGAAATTAATCATTTTTTATGTGTGACCTAAAAATTATATAATCTGTGACCAATTAATTTGAAAATCTGTGACTGTGTAACCTATAAATTTTGATTTGTTACCAACTAGTTTTGAAATCTGCGACCAACGAATTAATTGTGACCTATAAAATTTTTGAACTATGATCGTAAATTGTAAATCTGTGATCAGAATGGTCACCGGAGAAGAATGGTGGTCGGAATAGTCCTCGGAGCGGTATGGATGGTACATGTGGGATGAATTAATTATATTATATTAGAATTAAATATTTAATAATAAATTGATTTAATAATTTATTATTTCATAAATAATAAATAAAAAAAACCCGATTTTTGAATTTTCAAACTATAAACCTGATTTTTGAATTGGAGTAAAGTATACGTCTTATCTATAAATTTTTCCCAATCCCTATCCCTATAATATAAAAGAGGCCTGGCACTATTCATACTGGACACGTGTAAATTGGAGTAAAGTATACACCTTATTTATGAATTTTTCCCTTTTGTTTTTACTCTATATTTAGGGTTATAGTTGTATTTGGGCCCATTTAGTGTTAATTTGATGTAAAATGCATATTAAAATAATTAATGAATATTAGAAATACCCTTTTACTTGGTTATAAAAATCCCTTTTACTTAAAATAAAACATTAATAGGATATATATATATATCAATAATATGAATTTTTCAGGTGATTATATTCGTTACCAGTTCGACCTAGGCTCGACCTTGGTTCAATGCTTTTACCCTCAATCCCTCTCCCTTTTTCAGGTTAATGTCCTGGTCGGCTTTCAAAAAATTGGTATTTTTGCTGCTTAAAATATGGTCTATTCCTATGAGATTTGGAATGGAATAATCCAGGATATATAATCTCATATTATTGGAAATGGCTTTCTCAGGGAATGAATGTTCCAGGAGTAGATTTTATAATGAGCATTATTGGTTTTGTAACTCGAATATTGCTTCCATTCCCTTATACCAAGTACTACCTTCCTCTTTCTAAGGCAGTAAAATTTCACATTTAACAAACAACAAACTGAAAAATATTGATGGCTACCAAAGGTAGTTATTGAGGAAGAAGTGCTCTTTCCAATTTTCCGTCCCATAAATGTGAAAAGCATTCATGATCACTTTAATGATGTAGTACTACATTACTCGCTTACAATAGAAGTAAAATATAAGGACTCGATATAGTTCGTGAATACCCAAAAATCAATCAACTCTGATAGAGCTCACATAAAGTGAGAGAGGACAAGTATTGCCTTGACATCTGGTGGGCTTTTTTTATGAGCAAATATTTCAGTACTGTTTGTAGGATAATTGTGGATGCATTAATGTTTTCTCACAGGTTGTCTCTTAACCTTTCGGAGAATATGTCACAATTAATAGCAGAAATTTTTTCTTCCAAATGGTGACAATACATTGGTGCCCAACTGCCCATTAATAAAGACTTTACTTACCAAAAAAGTGCTGGTGAATCATGAAGTCGTCACTGAGTCGTTTTTCAGATATTCTCTGTGACCCACTCCCACCTTTGAAGGAAAATGATAATAGGAAAATAAAATGACATGCAAAAGAAGATAAAAAATGAAAGGAAAAAAACTCACTCACTCAATAGTCACATGCGTGCTTGCATATCATGGATTTGATGTTTGCACAAACTAGACAGTTGAATTCGATGTTTTATTGTCTTTGGTGCTTTTTAGGCAGTCTTTAACATTTCTTCTTCCTATAATTTTCTGAAACCACAGTTTTGTTGCTCTTTACTTTCCTTCTTTTTCAGCTCAAGACGTCCAGGGAAGCAGCTCAATTTGGTGCTGCAGGTGCAGTCCTAGGAGCAGTTACAACAGCTGGCTACTGTTGGAAGTACTCGCGAAGTGCTCATGGTATACTATGGCTGCATCCTTGATTTTTATTAGTTGTATAATTTCACATGATACCTTGTTAATAGTGCCATTTGGGATCCAGCAGAACTTATTGACAAGTGCTCAAAATTATCGTGTATCTGACACTCCCGTAAAACATGAAAATAAGTTTACATCGTTTTGTTGGTACTCTTGACTTGGCCAAGTTACTTCAACATGTGGTCATTAAAACATTGGTGCAAAGAGCTCAACTGTTACAACTATGAGTATGGCTTTAGTTGTTGAATCATTGATAAAAGGAACAGGGGGGAGGGGGGTAAGATAATCAGAAAACGCCAATGCATTTTTGTATTAAGAAGATATTGATTTTGGCTTCTTAAACACACTGAAAATCTTATCCCTTTCGTCTATGATTCTTTTGGTGTGCATTATTTGAAATTTCGATGGAGTTGATGGTTACTTTTAACTTGAATGTCCACATGTGAGCATAAATACTTGAAAACATCCATATATGCATGCAGTGATTCATAACAACAGGATTTCTGAAGATTTTTCTGGGAGCCAAGTGTAGAAGCTTAAACTATAACGCTCACTATAAGCCAAAAGCAAACATCCATAAACCATCTTAATCAATACCTCTGGAGGGATAGGCAATGAATAAAGATATTGAGTGGGAAATGCAATAATATTATTGTTGGTATCATTTTGTCAGTTGTGAATGACATATTACTGAGGTTGGGAGATGGATGAGGTTATGGTGGTAGCCAATGCAGAAATGGTTGTGGTAGTTTAAATGTTCTAAAGTTTCATTGAAGTGTGGAGTAGAATTAAAGGAGTTCTTAGTCTCAGATCCATTCTTTGCTGTATTCAACAATTATGCTGCTGAATATACCCCCACACACATAAATATACATTGAAAGTTCCTTTCCTTCCCTTAATCTTCTTCTGTTTATATTCTGCCTTTCCTAGTGTGCTATCCATTTTATTTTTGCTTTCCCTAACAAGAATCAATCTTCCTTTTTGTTGATTTCTGTAGTCTTCTGTTGAATTTAGTGAGGATATTATTGAATTGAAAAAATGGATATATAGTTCTAACTTAAATCTACTTCCATTTGATTGTATCAATTATTTATTGGATGATAATTAGCAACAAAATTTAGATTACAGCAATTTAATGAGTCTTCTTTTTCACTAAAGATTGAGAGAGGATTTGTAACTATTAGAACTGGGATCTGGTTAAAAATATGACTTTCATAGGCACACAGCTGACAGAATAATCTTTTGCACATTAGCTTCAAGTCCTTGGTTTTGTACGAATTCCATGAACCTTTCTGAACCTTGTTGGATCCGAAAGGAGAAAATATGAAATGATGGCTATTGAAGTTAAAAAAGTGTATTTTCTTCTTTCTATTTTAGGCAGTTAAACTCCAGGAGCACTACTATGACCATTTAATATAGCTAAATCCTTCTACTTTGGGCTTAACTCTCTGTTGGTGTAGGCAGCTTGTGGATAAATTAATCTTGGAAAACTATTACAGCCTGACTTTATGTAATTAGTGGTGGCTTTCTGTTTTCGGTCTCTACTTACATATTCCTGTTTCTTGATATGCTTCTCGTTCATTGTTCTTTGTTTTTTGTGCCATGAGTCTTTGTCTGGCTCAAGTAGATGAGATACTTATGGAGTTGCCTCTTGAAAACTTCTCCGAGAGTTATATCTCTTGCGGTTCATTTCTCTCGTTAGAGATGAAAATACTTTTAAAACTCTGTCATCGGTTATTAAAATGAGTACAAGTTAGCTCACTAGATAGGAAGACATCCACATTGGGATTCAATTGTTGGCGGGGAGTGTTGGATAACCAGCAAACCAGTGTTTCCATCTCTTGCATGTTCTCAAGTTTTTCCCTGTTTGTTCTTCCTCCTTTTGTTAAGGAAGAAATTCTTAGAAATAATCTTTTGTACTGTGAAATGTTCGTTACATAAATCCAATTTAGATAAATACTGTGTATTAGCAATAGCTGTTGTAACTGCTTTTTCGTAAAGCTCACATAGGCTATGCCAATCAGCTTACTTTGGCTTTGCTGGTGTACTTGCAATTGGATCATTGTGATAACGGATTGGATGTCTAACTGTCGAGGCAGTATGATAGTATCTTGTGACGTGCACTTTTTCCAAGTGAAGGGGAACAGGACCAAAACATGCCACAGACTAGCATGTTTTGACCTCGAGCTTCTTCTCTCAGTTCTTACCTTACTATTGGTTTTGTTGAGCTAAGAGATGAGGAATTTTTCAAACTAGCATCAATCTATGGTTTGAGAAGTTATCATCTAGCTGCAATATTCGCGTTTGATTGCAATAATACTTGCTAACTTCTATTGCATTTGACAGGCGCAGCACTGGCTTTCGGTTTTGGAGCTGTCACCGGTAGCTGTTTTGGACTCGAAATCGCGAACCACTGGTTCCAGCTTTATAGNACTCGACATCGCGAACCACTGGTTCCAGCTTTATAGGTTGGATACGATGGCTGCGCAGATGAAATTCTACCAGTGGCTGCAAAACAGAGCTTGAGGTGGGTCTAAATTGGACGTGCTTTAAAACCAATGCAATAAAAATCCAGTCAAGATACCGGAATTAAATGCTTTATTCAGCATTTTGGTTTTTGTTTTGTGTATTGGAATATGCATAATAATAGAAGTGCCTGTTTCCTACAGAGATCATGCAAAGAATCAGGCAGTGAACTTTTCTTTATTATTTCCTTGTGCAACTATTTTGAGGAATGATGGGTGGCATTATGTTTGATAGTGCTTAAAAGTACGTGAAACCTTTTATATAACTTATTCTGAAAAACATGATTGAGCCTTTTTTTTTTTAATAACACTTTTCCAGATTTATTCTCTATAAAAGTAATTTTTAGGCACTGCTTTGGCTTTTTGATGTCAAAGATAAACGAGAAAAAAAAAATGGAAATTGTGCTCACAATATTCATTTATAGCAATTCCTTGTTACAGTTTAGCATGTTGGTTGGGCAAATACTAAGTCTCTGGTAATGATGATTTTCTGCATTTTCATTTTTTTTTTCTCAAAAGACCCTCTTAAAGATTTTTGCCAAAGGCTCCCGAGTTGTCACATTGTTTGAGACGTCTCTGAAATTAATTTTGTTAGCTTCTCTTTCAAAACAATGGCAGACTCACATGACAAAACTATGTTTGGTTGTAATTATAAGTGAAATTTTGTATTACTTGCATGATGTTCAGCTAAGATTATAAAATGCTCTTTTGCAGTTGTTTCACTGTTAGCAGCATCCACAGAATAGAAGCTTATTTGCTTTCCCAAATTGCCAAGCATGATTAAGTTACTTTTATATTAATAAAACTTGGTTCTCTAGATTTTTCTTTTTCTTTTCTTATAAAAGTAATTTTTAAGTGCTACCAAACATGCATATTAGAAAGTTGAATGAAAGATCCACAAACCTGCTTTACAGCACTGCTAGAAATTGAAGTCCCACATATTTTCATACCAATTACATTACAAAGAACTATTCAAATTTCTTGATTAGAGAGAGATCATTCAGCATTTTCTCGATCGCATCGTCATCATGTGCTCGTCCTCGAGTCTGCAAAATATACAAAACGGGAAAAACAACGCGCAAAAGCAGAAAATTAATAGCAGTTATCAATGTGAGAGCTACATATGCTCGTTCACAAAACCAAACATTGCATGCAATGGAAAGAAGAATCCGGGGCAGGAGCCAGAAAAGCTTGGACGGATATTGGCTCATGATAACACAGGTGGACTCAAATAGCCGTATTATTCGGCATATGCAAATAATTTGGATCCAAGGCTTCTCCCCAAAATGCATAAATCATGTCTACTGGAGGTTGAGAGAGGTTAAGGTACCTTGATCGATGGGACCATGGCAAGAGCTTCTTCCACTGTCTCTGGGCAAAGGTTTCCAAGTACAGAAAGCTGCATATTACGTTAATTAAATAAGATACTAGGATATTCATCAGGTATGAAAGATATCTCTGCTTGGTAAGTGCAAATAATTACCTCGAATTCAGCCAGCTGATATCGACTGAGAATTCTGACCTTGAGTTAAGATTCACATTGTTTAGTTGAAATAAGACAATTGAAACAATGAGAACATAACAAAATTATCTGCATAACACGATCACTACTATCCTTTTATTGAATATTCTAGAAGTCCAGTATAGCATGAGCTTCAGACTTCATGCTCCCAAAACATAATTTAAATCGAGCAACAGAAATATTTAAAACCTGACGTAGAAATGGCAATCTGAACTATAATATACAAGGAAAAGCTAGCGTCTCCTTGCGATTTTATATATACAATCAGTAAAAGAAAGAATGTATATGCTTCATCTTTAAGCATCTCAGTATTTTTTATTTGTTTAAAAAAAAAAGTACTTGCAATTCAAAAATAGATATAGCGGCACTTGCAATCCAGATACTAATATAGCGCCACTTGCAATCCAGAGACTAATATAGCAGCCCTTGCAATCCAGATACTAACTGCGGAGCAATGCCCTGAGTACAGGGCTTCTTCTTACCGAGGCCTTACAGGCCTCTCACATGTGGGGCGGACCCCACATGTATAAACAAAAAAAAAAAAAAATTTGCCCCGACCCCCCCTGCTGTGTCTGGCCGGAAAGGGACCTGTTTCACAGGTCCCTGTACTCCAATCACAGTCCACTAACTGCGTGACATAAGAAGTGTTAAGTTTCTAACCTATCAATGCTAGCTCAAGACCTCCATGTAATAGTTATACATCAAACTGAATAAAATAAATCAATCCAAATAAGTTCTGCATATTGATGTTTCTCACCATTTTTTTACCTTTTTTTATAAACCGTCGGCAAGTGAGCACAGAGCAACAATATGTGAAGCAGGACTGTCTTGTGTCCTACTATCTGAAGCATGAAGAAACAAAAGCAACTTCTTGAATATGAACCCTGTATGCATATTGAGGAACCGCCCCCAAAGCAAAACGTTGGTTGTTGAAATGAGGAGTAGAAAAACAAGTAAAATTGGAGGAAAAAAAATCGAATATGGTAATGGTCCGTAATCCAAAACCACAGTGCTTAAATTTGTTAGCGTATTGTACTTATAAAAAAATTAAAATAAAAAACAATCATCAGATAAATCAAAAATGGTATATGTGCAAGCATAAAACATAAGGAAAAGATCATCATAGATGGATACTCTCGAACTTGTCTGACAGCATCAGGATTCTTATAACGGCTGAAGCGCTTCACATATTGGAGTGACTTCTCAAAAACCCTAGAAGAAGAAAGGTAACCATAATTTAACTCAATTTATGAGATCATAATCATATATTATTGGTTCAAATGTGACATTCTTTCCGAAACAAGATGAACTGAACTTTTTGATAGAAGACCTAGATTTTGAAAGACATGAAACAAGACACCATATTTCCTCATACACCCAAAACAAATGAGACAAATCATCATTTATCTCTTAAGAGAACAGAAGAAAAGGCAATTTTCATTTTGAACCTATAAAAATGCACTCCTTCTGAGTAATATTCTGTCTGATCTTCTCAAACCAAGCAAGAACAACAAAATTCCTCCTCTTTCCACTTTATCCCTTATTTCATTCGTAAGTTATTCAATTTCTCCCCTTTTAAGATAAAATGCATCATAAATCCTGAAATAGTAATCTAGAAAGCCAGAAATTGAAACCTTAATAATCCCTCATGGCACAGTGCTTTTTTCTTTTTCAATTTAGTATCAAACTGAGAAACATAATATGCTTTTGCACTCTGAAACTGAATTTTCATTTTGTGCTGGAAAAAATTTAACTTATTCTTCACCAAACAAGCTTTCAAAATCAAGAAAATGATCAAAAGAAACTATTCACGCGTGAAGAATATGCCAAGGTATGCCCAAGTTCTTATCGGACAAACTCATCTCAATTTCAAACCAAAGCATTCCTGAACCAACAAAATTTAAATTCCTTCATCCAATACATACAAATGGTATAATTGAAGCATAGAGGGTGATCCAGATTCATCGCGGGTAAATGTAAACACATGACAACATCAACATCATAATACATTTTCTAGGAGATTAAATTCAAGGGAAAGAAAAAATGCACTCAAAAGTTAAAAAACAAAAGAAAGAAGAAATTTGAAAGTGTCTTGATATACTCACTGAGATATTTGGTTCATGGGATCCTCAGACATCTGCTGAAGCTGCTCATACTTGTGTTCAAGAATTAGAGCAACTTCACAGTTCATCAGACACTTAGCCTTCAAAAACTCTGAACAAATAATTCCATGAAAATTTCAGGTTATGTACATAGATAACCGGAGTAAGCATAAGAGCAAGAAAGATATATAACAGTCAGAAAAAACTTTACTTTCAGATATCTCATGAGATTAAATAATTTCACTTACAAATTTGTCAGAGTCAGAAAAAACTTTACTTTCAGATATCTCATGAGATTACATAATTTCACTTATAAATTTGTCAAATTTGTCACAGTATGGTATTCTATCTTAATGCTTAAAAAATACATTTGGAAAAAGTGTCATCATCGTCAAAACTCACCAGGCAAGATTTTCAAAACATTGTGTATATATACTGTCCAAGCTAAAGTTCAGAAAAACCAAGATTTCTAAAGAGAATATAAACTTCTTAAGTAATTCTATACGATTGCCAGCCATCTGATGCAAACGGCCTTGTATTTGTGAACCACAAATGAAATGAAAATCAAGCATTATTCTTCTTCAGCGAATAAGCATCACCTTTACAAAAGGAACGACCAGACAAGAAGAACGAATTGAATTTGACACGTAAAATGAAGTAGAGCCTCCAGTATGACAAATTTACAGATACTTCCAATTTGCAAAAATTGAGCATCCTCGTACAATTTAGGGTTATCAAACAAAACACTATCTCTAGCAGAAATTATATTCGACGCAATAAATTATGAGCTTAAATTAATACACAATTAAAAAAAATCAATGAAATCGTAAAATTAACTCGAACCATTTGCCAAAAAAGTGCTCGTGTGATTTTTCGTTTGATTAAAGCGTGGAGATAATAAAAATTAGTGGACAAAAATGAATACCATCGGAAATTTTGAGTTCGGCGGCGTTTTCTTCTTCTTCTCCAGACATTGTTGAAAGTTCAAATCTAGCTCCGTGCAGTGTAAAATGCAGGTTGGAGCGAAGCTATGAAATTTATATCATCAGTTGGAGTTAATTGTTTCGACGGTCGCTGAACTTTACAAGGTGTCACGTTTCACTAACTGAACTTTAAGTTGCATCCCATGACTCATTGAACTTAGTAAAGTTGCACTCCATCCATCACCGAGCTAATTCCGTCAAAATCGGTTGCCTACGTGGATGACGGTTTGTACACGTGGTCGTTAAATTAATCTAGTTGGCCGAGTTAATTGTTTCAACGGTCACTGAACTTTATAAAGTGTCACGTTTCACTAACTAAACTTTAAGTTGCATCCCATCACTCACTGAACTTAGTAAAGTTGCACTCCATCCATCACCAGGTTAATTCCGTTAAAATCGGTTGCCTACGTAGATGACGGTTTGCACACGTGGCCGTTAAATTAATCCAACTAGCCATTAATCAGCCATGTCATAAATTCTCAACACCCAAACACGTCTCACTCTATTTGATCTCTGAACTCAGCCTTCTCGACCGTCGCCTCCGTCACAGGTGGAGCTGGAGCCGACATCTTGGATTCGACATTATGGACCATGAATTCGAGTTTCTCATTCCATTGAGGGTTGAGATCCTAAAAAATGGTCTTGGTACGTCTCCGTTGGCTTTCGAAATCCACAATCACATATGCACTAGCCGTGCCTTGGCTGTCTTTAGACATGAGATCAAATTGGGTGAGACGTGTTTGAGTGTTAAGAATTTATGGCATGGCTGATTAATGACCAGTTTGAGTAATTTAATGGCCACATGTGCAAACCGTCATCCACGTAGGCATGGGCGGACCTAGGGGGGTCCTAGGGAAATCTAAATTTTAATTTAAATCAAAGTGAACAATTAATTTTTATAACATATTTCATGAAATTCATAACTGTTTAATTTTTATCAAAATTTACTAAAAAAATGATTTTAATATCCACCAAACATAGACAAAATCACAATAAATTTAAATTTTGATAGCATGCTAGTTTTTAAAATTATTCGACGATCGTACGCTAATTGAATTTACAAATTGCTTAGTTCGAGAACTACATTATGGGCATATCGAATAGTTTAAACAGATATCGAAAATAGTTAAAAATATATTAAACACGAGTATTAAAAAAAGACGTCTAACTCTTTTTTTTTTTTTTTTAATTCAATTATTTCATTAAAATTTATTATTTTTGCGATACAAATTTTTCAATATAATTTTCATCATTTTATTAGGAAATTTTATATGGAATATGATATAAATTTTTTTCGAAATTTTACATTTGAAAAAGTCATATCGTATGTAAATTTTTGGATGTAAAATTATATGGGGTATGATTTTTTTGGACGTAAATTTTTAATTGTAAAATTTCTTTCGAGTTCTTTGCAAGTTCGATTGTGCCACTCTAACTTTTAAGATCTGCGTCTGTCCCTGCACATAGGCAACCTGTTTTGACGGAATTAGCTCAGCGATGGATGGAGTGCAACTTTACTAAGTTCAGTGAGTGATGGGATGCAACTTAAAGTTTAGTTAGTGAAACGTGACACTTTGTAAAGTTCAGTGACCGTTGAAACAATTAACTCGGCCACCTGGATTAATTTAACGGCCACGTGTGCAAACCGTCATCCACGTAGGCAACCGTTTTTGACGGAATTAGTCTGGTGATGGATGGAGTGCAACTTTACTAAGTTCAGTAAGTGATGGGATGCAACTTAAAGATCGGTTAGTGAAACGTGACACTTTGTAAAGTTCAGTGACTATTGAAACAATTAACTCTCATCAGTTGGGTCCTTGGGATTGTTTTATATTTTCGTTTTGACCCCTAAAGTTTTTTCCAATTCCTTGTTTTGTTTGCCTCATTTTGTCTTCTACCCTACCCTATCAACAAAAATTTATCACGTCGCTACAATTTTGAAGTGTCAAAATTTGCCTACTTTTACAGGAAGGTGAGACAAATTTTTTTCAAAAGTCGATTTTCATTAACAATTATGAGAAGATCGTTTACGTTTCATAAATTTTTAGCAAGACAAATTATGACGAAAGAAATATGACATCCCATTACGTTCACAATTCTACTTTTCATAAAGACGATTTTGTCCACGTTTGAATTTTTTTATGCATAATTTCACCTCTTCGAATTGGTCACGAAATTTGACAGGAAACGGCAGAAGTGCAACGACCTAGCCCAAACACAATAACGTTGTAAAGTAACTTATTGAGGGGTAGATTTTGTACTTTAAGAAAAAGTATACATAGGAGTGTCAACCTGTGCAAATGTTGCTTCTTTTTTTGCCACCATTTTTAACTCAAAATTAAAAATTCCGATCTACACAATGGGAGCACAAGGAACATTCTCAAAACTTCGAAAGCCAATAAGTTTTTCGAAATTAATTTGTCAATTTATCCAACATATAACCAAACATGAAGTACATTCAGAAATCACGATCTTGAAATCATAGACCAATTTACAACTACTATCGGTTCAAAGGTGTAAATCAAGAGCAAGGTTCGTCTATTGGATCTCAGACAATCTGATTGCACTCTTACACGTTGATTTAGGATTACAATATGCCGGACGAGAGACGAGGCATCATTACAGCAGCAGCGAAAATCTACGAATAAAGGAGTTCACCTGATGACAAAGAACCCATAGAAGCCTATTAGACAACATGAAGAAGTTAAAACAAAGACAACCTAAGTTTTTCTGCAAGTAATCACCGCGAGTAGGAAAGCGTGCATATCCCAAGGAATGAATGGTCTTGTCGTGAGAATATCCTATCGTAAAAGGGCATTATAAAATCTGGTCACCATTTAACTGTTCCATGCGAAACTAAGATACTAGATTAAGGGATTGATTGGCATGGGTTTTTAAAAGTCAAAAACTACTTTTGTAACTGATTGAATATTTCTTGGAAGTACTTTGTCTGCTTAGAAGAACTTCTAGACAAAGCTGGCCCCAGTTGACTTTCTAATAAGCTCTTCTACAAGAAGCAGAAGCTACTATACCAAACAGGATTTAATAAATCGCTTAAGCAGTCAGGTTCAAGAAACTCAGTTCAGCAGAAAGGATAATCTTGTGCATCAACAAATTCCTTGATTAGAATGCAAAAAGTTCAAAGTTAAAGCAAAATATAGATTACGATATCAAAATACCTAACACTTCCAAAGAGTTAAAGGAAAAAAAAAGAGATTCAGATATTATAGTACGTGTATAAGCACTTCCAATAGAATTCGCCATTTGGGTGGAGATAAAGAGGACTATCTAAATTTCAATCTAAAGAACCTATTAACAATCCTGCGATCGATTCCCATCTTGCAAATGCCAAGACAATAAGAGGGCTATTTCCAGGTACGTAGGACCATTTACAATCTCATTATTCAATATCTACATGCAAAAGCCAGTAGCTAAATAGAACAAGGCATACCGTGAAAAGGAAATCCATGAGTTGATGCAACTGCTGAATCAAAACTTAGTTTGCCACAGTACTAGAAGTACATGGCGCTTGCACATTGTCATTGGTCAAAGAAGAGTTGCCACCCATCTCTAAGGTGTGCTGTTCAGCTGGAACTGGAGCTGAGCTATCCTCTGTATTATTTGACATAGAAGCTACGTTGGTTCTACTATCTTCCGCTATTTCAAGATGATCCATCATTCGGGATACAGGTGCAATATCTGGATCAACATCTCTACGAACCACAGTGGAAGGGTCGGGTGTCGAACTATTGCGAGCAAACAGTCTCTCCTTCCAGCCTCTTGTGCTCTTGGTTATCGAATCTCTGTATCTGGAGGGAAAAAAACAAATTGTTCATTCCAAAGACTCGCCAAAAGAAAAACTTGCCTCCTCTATCCTAGAGTAAGACACTTTATGAAAATCTAAATTTAACGTGGTTTGGTTGCGACTTCTAAGATCTAAACCATTGAATTATTTTTCTTCTGCTCTTATCATTTTCGTGCTTCTAGTTAAGTTGAAGGTCAATAATTGAAAAACATAACCTGATTTGTCTGATCAAAATCAATGCCCTTTAGAGCCATTCAAAAAGATTTAGATCTAGATCATTGATTGGAACAAGTAAAAGGGGGTCGCATCCACCATAAAAATGGTTTTTTTAGAAATCTATAACCATCTCACTAGTGAAGGTACACAACTCGATATACAAACACAACTGGAATCTTTAAATTTGATAACAATTACGAGATGACCTGAAAAGAGAAGTATGACCTTAACAATAGGACCTGAAGAGCAAATGATATTCTTAGTTTCCTTGTACCTTGTTGACAATGCACCTAGTCGAGATTTGAGAGACTCTGAGAATGACTGCAAATCAGATGGTCCAGCTCTATCTTGACTGTTAGGGGAAGTCTGAGAAGGAGACCTCCTGCAAGACAACTTAAAGACTAAGCTGTACTGAACAATAAATATGAGGGTAGAAAATACTAAAACAAAGATCAAGAAACGCAAGTACCGATTGATAGAGGAAGTTCCAGGTTGATTTGCAACAGCGCTTGATCCAACAGCGCTTGATCCTGGCATTGGGGCTGTAACCTGATCAACTTGAGCAGGAGATTGTTGTGTAGTAAGTTGTGCAGAATCTTCTTCTATAAATGGAGAATTTGGGCTAGCTATCATGACTGCAGGAGGTGTTCCTACTCCACCTCTATGAGCAGGGGAAGCAGCAGAAGAAGAGGAAGAATTTGGATTAGTTGAAAACACCAGAAAATGGGGACGGCCTTGAGTAGATGACCTACTCCTATGACCTTCCCTCCTACCAAGCTGACGAGTCCTTCCCATTGCAGCAGCAGCAGCTAAGTGTTGAATAATGCGTTCTTCAAGTTCAGAATCACTTGCACTAACTGGTAACTGTATCAGACGTTAAGGAAAATATTATTTGAACTCGCAACATGAAGTCACCATATAAGAAATGAGTAGGGGACAAATGTTTATAAATGTAGGAATGAAACACATACATGCTGCAATTCGAAGTCTCCCAAGGTTGGATGATGAAATATAGTGGTGTTTCTAGGTGGATTCATTCTCAGATTCCTCTCATGTTCCACAGCATCAAGCAATTCTTGGCTGCCAAATAATGCAAAAAAAGGGTGTAAGTATAAGAAGAAACAGATGTGCAACTTGAAAAGGAGAAAAGGCCAAGTTGGTATACCAGTTGGGATCCTTCAGGCTGATGGTTTGCCAACACATTGGGCACTGTGAGCTTCTCTGGCACCTATAATTATTGCAAAATAATGAACGACTTTATCAGAACATTATGCTGATACATAACAATAGAGAGAAATAACTCAAGTTCTCTCCAAAAAAAATAAAAATAAAAATAATAATAATAAAATCAGTTTCTTTTCTAAAATGCCATACGTAGATTCGAAGAAAGATAAAGATAAATCGTTAGAGTAGAGTAGCTATCTTTTAAGTCATGTGAAGAAGTTAGATTAACTGATTAACCGATGTAGGTGCCATTAAGCAAGTGGTGACAGATTTGAGTCAGATTGATACTAGATTTACCACAGACCAGATCAAGAAGGAATTTAAGCAAAATTGACATATTCAGCATTTGCAAGAACCGAGGAAGACATGACAGGTATGTGCCTTCTACACATGATATGGGATATAAAAGTAAATTGCTTATACAAATTGCAGCATATGAACACTAACCTTGGCTTCTAAATCTAAAAATTCAAAATAAAATAGTTTTACCCTTTTTTATATACAATTTGCATAATATTAACCCCCCTATGTAGCAAAAAAAAAATACTACTTAGCCAAGCTTTCTTATCCACAAAACAAAAAATATAGTAGTTTGGAAGACAAATTCATCAAAATCGATAACTTGAATTTACAAAAGCTGAAGTTATGAACAAGAATAATGCCCCACATCAATTCGAAAATTTTGACCAAGAGGATCTATCATCTATGTTAACATAACCATTCATTCTATGTTATAAGTTTGTCACTGGATCACCTATTTCATCCATCCCCTATATTGTCGAGATAGAACAACGAAAAAATCTATGTACTCAATCAAACAACTTTCACTAAATCATCTAACTTCCTAATTATGTTATTGAACCTATATCGAAGTGGTATCAGTTCAGCACAAAATGGCACTAAGTTTCTTGCCTACAGGGATACAAAGAAATCATCATGCATCACAAATCCACAAAATAAATTAATTGATGCAAGAAATTTTTCACCGAAAGCCAATCTTTATACCATTCAAGAATGCACTGAAGATGAAACTCGTGCTTGCAAGTAGTCACCTGAAAATGGAAAAGTGCAATTAAATTGACAATAAGTAAATTAAATCCATAACAATTCGACATGTTATCCTAATACATACTGTTGAAGGATCACTATCAGAAAAGTCTTCAAGGCATATGCTGCAAGCATCGTCACATGCCTCCTGAATTCCACCTTCGACAAAAGCAGCAGCTGACGACAAATGGTTCTCAGGTACCTTTTCGTCTTCCATCTGTTAAAAAGGGCGAATATCTTTATCTCAAAACACAGAGATCCATAAACAAAATTGTACAAGAATCATAGCATTTCACATTTACACAAAGGTGAATAAGTAGAAAATATTATTCAGAAAACCCAATGACCTAACGATGTACTAATATGAAAGTAAAACGTGATAAAAAGCATACAAAAACAAGATTATTAAATAAAAATTATGCATACGAAAGCAACCAAATTATGTATTTCAAAGAGGGAATTTGATTGGAAAGCATTGATTTTCAAAACCACATAAAAATCAGTTGGGTCAGGTTGAATTAATCAAGTTAATTTCAGTTTTTCTATATAAATATGTATCTTTCCACTGAAATCCAATGTCCAATTGAAGTTGAGTACTAGTCTTGCAGATAACACATCCAGCTTCCAAAATCACATAGACTCCAAGAAGATCAATTCTTAATTAAGTTGCCAAAACAGAAAACCAGTCCAATAGCAAAATTTCACAGCTCAGCCCAAACCCTAAACAAAAATAAAACCCAAATAAAAAAGATATTCAACTAAAGCTGTCATTTTTTTTCACTAATTATACCAGAGAACCATCCAAAATACCCAAAATAAAATCCATACATTTATTCAGATCAATATTTAACCATTTCCAACATCCAACAATTGGAAACATGTGGTAACTGACAGTCTGACACCACTATAAGACAAATAAAAATTAAACAAAAACCCACAAATGAATTCCTAAAAATTACAAATTTCAAAGAAAATAAAGAATCCAGCAACAAAAATTCATCAAATTTCACATAAACGAAAATTACCTCAAATAAGACTGTTCTTTTGGGTGAGAAACTAAGAGAAGTGATCCAATCTAACACCAGATCAAAGGAAATAGGGATGAAGAGATGATTGATATATACAAATATAAGTGATTATTTATTGGATGGTTTTTATATACGAGAATTTGAGGGAATAAAAGTAAGAACGAGAAATGGCATAAAGAGAAGACTCATGGACTTTTCTTGTTGGTTTTCGGATAACTTTTTTTTTTTTTTTTAAGAACAATTACATATGTGGTCCCTAATCTATTAACACTGTACCAAATCGAACCCCTGACCTAATATTTTGACTACCTCGCTCCCAGCCTTATTTTTTTAACATTCGAATCGCCGAATGACTATTGTATTAAAAAGGCAATTTTATCCTTAAGTGTAATTAAACAAAATAAACCCCTATTCGGTCGAGATTTTTAGCAAAAAAAGAAAATAGATTTTTGCCTGTGATTTGTAAGTCCATATGTAATTAATTATTTTTTAAGGATAATTTATGACAATGATAGTAGGAGTCGTGCGTCAACTCATTTATGTCTTCATTCTTATTATCATTTCGCTCTTTGTTGAATTATGTAGATGAATGAAAATTTTCAGTTAGTGACAAAGATAGTTCAATGTATAAAGAAAGCCAATCTGAGAATGCATTTGAAAAATTCATAATAATTTCAATCAGTATTCTGAAACATGTATTTATGTTAGATGAAAAATAAAAACAACTAAAATGAAACCCAAAAAAATTATAAATAAATAAACCGACCTGCAAAGTTGTCCTCAAGCTCCCACTAGATTTTATGTTAATTTTAATTTATATAATAATAAAAGAATCGTCTTTTACTATGAAATTGAGTGCTTAATAAAATATAAGAGTAAAATTATCTATTTGGGACTTGAATGTTACAAAAAGAAAAAAGGTGATACTATAACCGCAAAAACAATAGGTTAATTACCTACTTACTATATTTTTGATAGATTGGGGATCCTAATCGTTCTTCCTTTTACTTTTTGGGCAGTGATGATCTGCCGTAACACACACCCCATCTCCCTCACGCTCCCCCCTCCCCCCCCCCCACCCCCCCAAAGCCACCCCNGAGTGTTAATTGAGCCACTCGCAGAACTGACAGGGCCCAGCTTTAAGGGTTCCAGGCCCAAATTATTCGGGTCCATATAGAGGTGGACCAACTCGTGGCATGATCCAACATTTTGATACCGGTACATTTTAGAGTTTTCTTTCCAATCCAAGTTCCAGTTTTGGTTAATAAAAAAAAGGAAAAATTTATAAGTAAGAGGGTAGTAAGATCCCATAGCCAGTACCATTTCTGGATTTTAGATCCGGTTTTGATGTTTCTTAGATATTGACATAGAATTTCAAAAAACATGTAAGCGTGAATAATCGATTGGCTTACCCGTCCACATTTTCATAGGTGTCTTCAGATCAATTACGATTGATGGTGACCGATTGATCACAAAACATGCAATTTTGATTGCTTCTGCCCAGAATGACTTGGCTAGCCTCGTAGTTCTGATCTTAGGGACACTTAGGGACATTTCTTTTGTATTAGGTATTAAGATACTGAGAGATCGTTCTCGAGGTATTCTTGGGTTGTCACAAAAGAGCTATATCGATACCTATCACCTATTTCAAAACTAAGAAAAACAAGTTTGGAATTTCAAAAATCAGATTTTTATTAAAATTTATTTTGATTTAATTTATTAACTTATTAATTCAATATAATGATGTCATAATTATACAATTAATGGTCACACGTACGTAATTAATTGGTCACATATTATTTTTGAGGTCACAAATCAAAAATTTTATAAGTCACGAATAATTTTGAGGTCACAGTTCAAAACTTTTATATGTCACAATTTGTATATCGGTCACAGATCAAAATTTTTGGAGGTCACTAATTATTTCATGGTCACAAATCAAAAATTTTAAAGGTTACAGATTATTTTATTGGTTACAGATAAAAAAATTACAGGTCACATATTAATTTTTAGTCACAAATTGTCGAATTTTAAGGTTACAGATTCATTTTTTAGTGACAAATTATAGAATTTTAAGGTCACAGATAGTTCATTATGCGGTCACAGTTGGTCACATATCATACCACAGGTTCAAATAACTGCCGCCCACACCGCAACCACCAGACCATCGCCTGCACTGCACCGCACCACCACCATAAAAAAAAACACGACCTGAGTTGCCTGCGAGTCAACACCACCTCACCGTCAAACCGCTACCGTCGTCGCCACCACCACTTGAAACAAATCAGCCCATCGCAAAAAAAAAAAAAAGTATTATTACAATCACCACAGATTGAGACACCACCATCGCATCCACAGTACCACAACCGCACCCATCGACACAGCCACCATCAGCACCACCACCAACTACTCCAACCCATCACTCCAGATTTTCACCTGATTTTCCACCACCACCACCAGCAACAGCACACACGCGCACCACCATCATTGCCTAAAAACCATTGCAAACAACACCGCAGATTTACAACCAAAAACCACCGCCGCGACCACCACCCAAATCACACCACAAACCATACTGCAAAATCAGATCGCCACTTCACCGCAAAATCAGATCGCCACTTCAGAAACCAACCACTGTCAACCACTGCCCACTCCACTGCACGCGACGCTCCCAGTTGCAGCTCCCAATGCGGCTCAGTGAAGGAGGCGAGAGAGATGGGGACACAGAGAATAATGGAGACTGAGAAGTGAAGAGGAGGGATCGCCACGATGGCAGCAGCGGTGTCACAGCAGCGGCGCCGTCGCTACTACAGAGAGAGAAACGAGATGGGAGAGGAGGGTTAAAGAGAGAGAGAGAGATATGAGAGGAGAGAATTAGGGTTAGGGACGTGTGGTAGATGAATTTAATTTTGAATTGTTATATTAGTAAAAATAATTATTTTAAATATATTAATTTATTAAAAATATCTGATTTTTGAATAAGTAAACTTTGTATCTGATTTTTGAATAAGTAAACTTTGTATCTGATTTTTGAAGTTGGATCTTGAAACATAGGGTTTTGTGTAATTTCCACGTAAAAAAGGGTAACATTTGAGATTCACGACTTTTATCAATTTTTTAATCATACATCTCATTAATTTTTATCAAAATATACTAAAAATATGATTTTTAGCTAAACCAATCATGGGATAAATTAAGAAGTCATTAATCCACGGCTTATCATCGAACTTTATCAAGATCCACTTTGAAGCCTTTCTTTTATTTTTGAGAAGTTTAAATCGTGTCCAAATTTAAGTACAGACCTTGTCTAAGCTCCAAGTTTATTAATCCATGTCCATCGCCCTAATATCAGGGGTAAATAGGCATGCATGCAATCATGTATTCATGTTTACATATATTTGGTATATTAATACATTATCATAACACTGCTAATTTCTGCATTGGATTCCATCAACATTATCCCTAAGAACAACCTTTTTTGATGTCAAATAAACATCATGGTACCTGTCGGCGACCGGATTTACTGTGTTGCTTTTCGTTCTCTAGGAATGGTCGTAAGACCATAGCCGAACGGAAAGAGAGGATCATAATGTGGATCACCAACATTCATTGGAAGCTGGTCGACTGTCCTAAACCAAGTGCGTGCCAGTTTGCCAGTAAAACCGTAATCACCAAACAGAACATCGGAAACACCTTGCCCTTCGGTTCCTGGAAGCCAAGCAGCCACAAGTGCAGCCATTTTCGGAAGATAAGGTTCTATTACCACTGGACGACCAGAAATGATAATCACGACACATTTCACATATTCACATACATTTGTGATTGTGTCATAACCAGGCTTGGCTATTGTCAGATTCGTGGTATCGCCAACACTTTCTGAATAAGGTAGTTCGCCAACTACAACAATGCTGTAAGAGAAGTTGTTGGACTTCAAGAAATTACTATCGGGATTTTCGCTGTAGACGACTTCTGTAAGGGGATCAACAGCATTCCTCACAGCAGTTAAAATTGTGGTACCTATCAAACAATATGAAACTTGTAAAAAGCTGATGCAAAATGATAAAACCAATATAGTTTCCAAATAGTTCTTTATCATCTAAATCAAGATGTATAGAATCAATTAACCGAGAACCCAATTACGAGTACAAAGGGAAATGAAAAAATGACTTCCTTTTTATTCTCAACCCCTTTTCCTTCTTCTCTATGTAAATCAATTATGAGATATATACCTAACTTGTAGAGATACATACTTCCTCGATGAGATGCTCAATACAGGATTGCTTCGGCTGATGATCAAACTAAGTAATTCAGTGTTCATCTTGTTAGGGGTTAAACCATAATCCCAATCACAAGTGCAATATCAACTAAAACGAAATCAGAAACACACACAGCACACACAAATTTATTGTAAAGCTACATTCACCTACACTGCAGTTTTCATTATGAAGAAGAAAGAGATTTAAAAGAGTGATCACATGCCTCTCAGTCACTCTAAAAACGCCCCCTAAAAAATTCTTTGTGTATTTGTAAGAATAATAGGATGACCTAATGCAGGTAAGGATGAATACATGTAAACGTCAAACAATGGTCGAGGGAATATGTGTACAGTATTATCAGGCTTCACACAGTTCAATACATCTGATATGCATCCTTGCATTATTCTTAGTTTAAGCATTATGTACCTGCAGCTAAAATTTCAATTTTGGAACATACCAATTGTAATGTCACCGGGAAGACCATGCCATTCTATCGTCCATCCTCCACATTGATTACCAATATTGTGAGCATGGCTCCCGGCCACAAGTATCTTCGGTGCTTTCTTTGGAAGGGGAAGCATCGGCTCATCATGATTTTTCCCGTTTTTCAGAAGGACAAGTGATCTCCTCACAGATTCTCGGGCCAACTCTCTATGTTCCTGTTCAGAATATAATTGATAAAATAAACTATTCATGTTTATTAAGGCCCCGTTCGGGAGTGATTAAAATCCAATTAAAATTGAAAATATGGCCGTTATTGGGTCCCACCCGTCTAATAAAAGTCAACAATAACGGCTATATTTTCAATTTTAATCCGATTTTAATCCCTCCCATACAGGGCCTAACTAAATATAACAGGAAAACTAATTTCAAAGTAATGCTACGATGTACCTGACTTCCGAGTTGATTTACTAAGGTGAGATCAGCTATTGGGTTCTCAAATAGACCCAAAATAAATTTAATCCTAAGTATCCTCTCGACAGCATCATCAATTCTGCTCATAGGGATAACATTTTTCTTCACCAGTAAAGTCAGGTCATCAATGAACTCCATGAATTTCTCAGGAAGTAGAACCTGCAATAAAACCAACTCAGTAACAATTTCCCTACGTCAGAGACTGTAGGTGTTTGTTTATCCCTAGTGAACAGGACAGAAGTGTATTATCAACAAGATTGCCTTATTTTTCTTCTTTAATAAAGTTCAGTACAAGTCGCAGAGAAACATGATTGAGATGGATTCCAATCTGTCTTACTATTTGAGCTGTAACTAAATGATCAATTTACATTCTGATAACTACATTTATGTTTTGTTGATCCAATGAGACAAATAAATATGATATATATTACACTGACCATGTCAATTCCAGCAAGAATACTAGCTTGAACCGAATAAGTATAGTTAGCAGCCGGTGGGGAGGTGATCTTATCAATGCCCTCAGAATCTGATATGACAAAACCCTAGACATGACCACAAAATAGCATTTATTAGGACAACCCAAGAAAGTTTCAGGAAGAAATAGGAAAATTTTAATAAAGTTTTCAATGCGACTTCTCACTTTGAATTTGAGCTTTTTCTTGAGGTATCCAGTGATAAGATCATAGTTAGCATGCATCTTTTTCCCATTCAAGCTCGAGAGAGATATCATCACTGTTGCCACACCCTTTCTAATGGAATCAAGATATGCAGGCATATGGATGCGAAGCAAGTTGTTCCAGTCTATGACAGTGTTATTCTCATTGATACCATTGATTGTGCCACCATCTGCTACAAAGTGCTTCGCGCATGCTGCAACTTTTGTCCTTGATTAATGATAACAGCGAATGAGGAAATTTCTAATGATTATTCCAAATTGAATGAAATATGCATACATTTTTTTTTTTCAATTAGACATGTGACTAATTTTATATTAGTCATTCTATTGATTCATAAAAAAGATAATTATATCCAAAATTGAAGAGAGAGAGAGAGAGAGAAACAGAGAAACAGAGAAAGGAATCCCCCACATGACCCCTGATTCTCTTCCGCCATTTGCAACCCCCTCCTTTTGGCCTTTCCCACCTCCACGACAAGTACAACCCCCATTTTGTAAATTTGGAATCTAAAAAAAGAAAGGCAAGTTGTGTTTATTAAAACATTTGGGGAAAAAAGTCTAAATAGTTTATCGAAAATTATAAGTAGTTCATGTCAAATTTGTTATGCATCTATCATATGCACAAAATTATGGTCCCCATGCATTAGAATAACTCCTTGTGGACCTAGATCAGCTGTTGTTATAGATTGTCAATCATTGTGCCTCAATAAAATTAGCCCGAGTTTGATAGAGATTTTTTTGAGAATACACTTTGAGAAAAGTAAGGGCATGTTCTCTTTACCGTTTTCTGTTTTCGATTTTCCAAAACAGTGAAAACACGTTTTTTTTCCTATTTTCAAAAACGCGTTTTCGAAAACAAGTTAAAAATGTACAAAAAAAAAACCCAAAACGACGTAGTATTTTCAATTATAACCAAGTCAAAATTTTCAAAACACGTTTTGGGTGTTTTCGGTTAAGCCACCAACAACCACTGCCATTGCCGCCTGCACACACCACCTGCACCACACTGCCACCATCGCACCCACCGCGACGACGCCACCACCCAAAACCACCACAGCAAAAGAAGCCGACAACGCCACTGCACCAGAAGAAGCCCAAAAGCACCGCACTAGAAGAAGCCCTAAACCACCGTACCAGAAAAAGCCCACCNTTTTCATTTTTTAAAATAATTTTTCAAACTGACAAAAAAACACATTTTTAACAATCTCAAAATGAACACTCAAAACACAAAACCCAAAATTGAAACTCGAAAAGAACAGCCCCTAATTTTTTCGGAGAATGTGGTGTGGAAAAGAAGGGAAAAATTATGGATCCATGTGAAATTATTTTACCGGGAGAATGTGTGGTTGAAAATGAGTTTGAGGAAAAATGACTTCTAGAAAATGAGGACCAAATATGGGCTTAATATTTGCCTATAAGCTTGTGATGTTTACTTGTATAGTGAAGGAATATGACAAGAAGGGAGACAAGGGATATAGATTGTACCTCCCACTTATAAATGGAAAATTGTTTGGATAATTGGTCGGTAAATCTCCTTGTAAACCAGGAATTATCTCGGTCAATGCCTGAACTATTTTATGATCTTCACTATAGCTTTCAAAACAGCGACCCCATCTTGGGTCCCTGCAAACCTGTAAAAACCGATAAATAGACTACTTCGATAAAAACCTGATAGAATGCAAACAAGTAGCTGTTCTGTTAATGTAATTTACCGCAATACAGGGAGCAAAAGTGTACGGGATGCCCGTGGCCCTAACTTCAAGAGCAGTCGCAGCCCCTATTTTTTTAACAAGTTCGGGATCCCTAATCAAAGTTCATATGATTTCAGTCATTTGTAAACAACAGGAGAAGGGATTTGACTAGGTAAGATAAAAGCACGAATTTCCAGTATTTCAGCAGAGAAAATCACAGGATTTTCTTGAAGACAAACCTTCTGATTACAGTTGAAAGAAAGTCTCAACTAGTAGGAGGCCAATGAGAAATCAGAACTGGGTTCCTTAACAAATCATATTGAGCATATCAAACTTTCACTCAACTTTTTACAATTTGAGAAACTACTGGTTCAGAAATGTAGTACCAGAATATAAATCCACTTCGAAATCATTATAACAATCTTCATATCATGAGAACAATCTTTGATAAGATATTATTTTTACTTTATTTTATGCGTAGCCAAACATGCTCTTAGTAATTTTAGATTGGCGGACTGGTTTGTATGACTTACCTGGTAACTCCGAGCCCAATATTGTGAGGGAAAATTGTAGCATTGTAGACAGTATTATGGCCATGAACAGCGTCAATACCATAAAGCATAGGAATTCCAAGACGGGTAGAAAGAGCACCCTTCTGAAACCCATTAACCATATTGATCCAAGTCTCGGCAGAAGCCTTCGGAGCTGGTGCACTCCCTCCACCGCTCAGAATACTCCCTGCAAACTTCAATATCTCATAACAAGCCATGCTGCTAATAACCTATTACTTTAACATTCTTAGTAAACCATGTAAATAACCATATAAAAATTGAAATTAGATTGACGCTTGTTAATTGATACTTTACTACTCAGAAGGATTGGAATTGAAACATGGCTTCTTTTTCAAAATTATGCAAACAAACCTCTTTTCTTTATGTAAATCCCAATATATCAATACCCTTCTTCTTCCTAACCCCACTAATTTTTCTTACCCAGCCCTCTGCTTGTGATGCTCCCCTCCTCCATTTCCCGTCCGCTCCTCTTCCCCTTCTACTACCCCCCCCCCCCCCCCCCCCCCCCCCCCCCCCCCCCCCCCCCCCCCCCCCCCCCCCCCCCCCCCCCCCCCCCCCCCCCCCCCCCCCCCCCCCCCCNGCTGTTACTCAAGAACTCCCGAGGTGCTCCCAAAGTTTCGAGTAAGAAGAGGAGTGACCACCATTTTTGGGTAGAACTTATCCTTAAAATTGGCTGGAAAGGGATAGATGCACAAAGTGATTATAAACTCACAAGAAGGAACTTTCATGTAGGATACAATTAGATCATTACAGAAGGGCATGGTAAAAGCCTTTTTAGTGCTGTTAAAATTGACATCGAAATAAGAAGTCTTTTAAAGTAAAATTTATACGTAAAGACTCTTCTTGACAAAGAAGGGGTTCTAAAAAATTACTTTTACTGCTCAATTTCTATACGATGTTAAAGATGAATACCAATAAAGTATTTTTTGACGATTTCTGGGGATGCATACTTTCGATCAACCTGGCAGTAGACGGGTTAAAAGAGAAGTTGTGTCATTCTTGTCATCAAGTCCTTGATTCTATCACTCAATGGTTGCTTTGGGTCTTTGTATTTCAAGTACTCTGCTTCTGCCCAGAAACAAAATAGCACCAAAATCATCATTCGGACTGCCAATCTCGCCATGCCCATCACCCAATGATCAATCTGTTTTGTATCTCAAAATGGGATTTTATTTATATTTCACAATTTAACGGGATTTAACAAGAAATTTCGGATATTATGAAATCTCAAAATGGGTTTTGCTCAAGCCCCTAAATTTCAAACACCAGCGTTGATTTCATACAGCGAGTGTATAGCTTTCAGCTTGACGTGTTCAAGTGGAATGCGGGTTCTCTATATTTTCTCAGCTTCATCGTCTTTGACACTCAAACTGGATTTGTGTTTTATAATATTTTCTTTCCCAATCAACTGTCGAAAGCAATGCCCCATTATAATAATTTCTGTTTATCTTATCCGTTTGTATGAATTGGAATCTCCATTATACCTGACGAGGCTGCCTTTTCCTTTACAATCCCTAAAGATTGATTTTTGGATAGTATAAAATGGGTTGTGTTACTTGTACATTATGGCATTCATAATGGATAACATAATAATATACAAGTGATAGTACATTATTGGAGGGTGTGCTGATCATGGATGGCATAATGTACAAATAGAATTATCCGTATAAAACAGCCTGTTTGAGCCCATTATTTTGTTAGAGTGCATTTTTGAATTATAATTTAAAAAAACATATTTTAAAAATAATGAAAAAAAAACAATCGCAGACGATTTGACCCCATTAAAATGAGCTTTTTCATTATTCAAAGGTACATCAATCAATTCTTAAAAAATGACGAAGCACACATTTTAATTGTTGCATAAGACCTTGAAATTCAAAATGTCAAACATACCCTACTTTTTAAAACCAATTTTCAAAAATAACCTTCCCATTCCTTCACTTTTAAATATCTTTCACCATTTTATTTGAAGGGTAAATTAGGAACATACATTCTTGGACCTACAAATTTCCGCAAAAGTCAATTCTAGATGTGTTTTTCTCATAATTTTCCGCGATTCTATCGATGTGGCCCCCATAGAAGCAGAAAATCAAAGTTGCAAAAATTTCAAGAAATTGACATTTCAAGAAATGATTTGATTATATTTTCCATTTCTTTACGTAAAAGAAATGAAGAATCCCAAAGAATAAAACTCAATTTGTCTCCAAAACGTATACAATCGAGCACATATCACTTCCAATTATAGCATATTTAGGGCGTGTTCGGTAGAGATCAAAATCGAATTAAAATTGTAAAACTTTTAATTTTCAATGACGGATATATTTTCAAGTTTAATTGAATTTTAATCTTTACCAAACGAGCTCTTAGTCTTGCTTCTTTTCCATAAAAATGGATTGACATTGTTTCAAGTTGAGCCAAACATACTCCATCTTATTATGTGTTATCACCATTGGTTATAACTCGTCAATGTGACAAATAAACCCTAATTTTCAATTCAAATGAATTTGAAGTGCATTTTGATTAATTGAACAATGAACTTGAGAGTCCACGAACTCATTATTATCACACTTGGTGATATCAACAATTTATGAATGTGTCCATTGTTTAGGCCTATGAAAAGTATACATGTCAGCTACTCATTGCTATGAAGAAAAAAATCATGGACCTTCTTTAGATGTCTAAAAATATGTATCACCATCTACAAATGAGGGGATATCAAATTATTGGACTATAGCCAATGGAATCAATCAGAGGATTGTAATCTTGATCGCCTACATTTATTGTTAGTTAGATTGATTGTCCTGAACCACGTGCTCACTAGCTTGTCACAAAACCATAGTCACCAAACAAAACATCAGCAATGCTTTGGCCTTCCGTCCTCGGAAGCCAAGTAGTCACTAGCGCGTCCAACGGTTCCATAACTACTCGACGACTACCAGCAATTTTCTGAATAAGGTAGTTCACCAACAATGGCAATGGCATAAGAGAATCGCTAGGATTTCAAGAATGCCCGTTCGGCATTTTCATTGTACATCATGTTTGTAATGGGATCGACACGACAAGGTTCTTAACAACAGTTAAAATTGTAGTACATATCCAACAAAATAAAAAATGATGTAACACGTAAACTTTATGATAAGACTTAAATCCATTACCTTTGATATTGTATCGAACCACTTTGTCTAAAAGAACGAAGTTTAATATTCATAACATACCAATTGTGATATTGCCCAAACAATAAAGCTAGTTGTACAAACATAGTTGACAACCTTGATTGACAACCATGTGTTGTCAAAATCAAATCCTTTGATGTAAAAAAAAAATAGTTTTTAAAATGGATGAATGTGATGCTGCCAAGTAGGATGATTCTTCCCGGAAAGACCTGGCCATTCTATTGTCCACCCTCCAGCTTGATAACCAATGTTGTTGGCAAGACTTCCTGCCACAAGTATCTCCTGTGCTTTCTTTGGAAGAGGCAGCAATTGCTCGTCGCCCATAAGCTTGGATCAGCATTTGAAGACTTGAAACCACAAAAGTCAAAGTATTAGGTAATCTTACCATACCAGGCACGTGGAGTTTGCTTAAGGCCATACAAAGCCTTCTTAAGTCAACACACGTGATCGGAGAACTCCTTGGAAATAAATTCATGTGGCTGTTCCATAAAGATATCAAGATTTTAGTCCCCATATATATATATATATAATCATGTTTGGTATCGATTGAAATATAAATTTTAATCTAAATCAAAGTTAACAATTAATTTTAATAACATATTTAATGAAATCTATAACTATTTAACTTTTATCAAAATTTACTAAAAAATTGATTTTAATCATTCTCTCGCCTTTTAACAAAATCTGAACTCTCCATCAAACAATAGCGAAATATTGCATTCTTAATACGATTTCGAAGTGTTCACGGTCTAGTTTTTTACGTTGTTAATGGCGTATGAAATGATCAATCGTGGCAAATGTTACCACTTGTCAAAGCAAGTCGTTCAAAATTCGTATTTCGAAAATTTCGATAATATGCTAACTTTAAAAATTCTTCGACAATCGTACGCTAATCAAATCTACAAATTGCTTATGTCATCTCAAAACTTATTTCGAGAACTACATGATAGACATATCGAATAGTCCAAATAGATATCGAAAATAGTTAGAAATGTGTTAAACGTGAGTTTTAAAGAAAGACGTCTAACTTAAGTTAAAAATGCATTAAACGTGAGTTCTAAAAAAAGATGTTTAACTCGCATTTTCTTTAGAAAAATTCAATTATTTTATTTACATTTATTATTTTTGCAATACAAATTTCTCAATATAATTTTCATTATTTTATTAGGAAATTTTATATGGAATATGACATAACATTTTTTCGAAATTTACATCTGAAAAAGTCATATCCCATGTAAATTTTCGGATGCAAAATTACATGGGGTATAATTTTTTTGGACGTAAATTTTCGATTGTAAAATTTCTCCCAATTTCTGTGTAAGTTCGATTGCGCCCTCTAACTTTTAAGTTTTGCTTCTACCCCTGCTCATAAAGGAACACATTTTTCACGTCTAGTTGCCACAATTTCCAACCTTTGTTAGCATCCAAAGAAATAGTTATTCGAATTGTTACCATTTTAGCACCGAGACTGAAAGTCTCATCGTAATGTAGATCATATTGTTGAGAGAACGCACAAACAACAAGACGGGCTTTTGACCTATCAATTTTACCATCAACTTTTTTCTTTAATTTGTAAACCCATTTACAAGTAACTAAATCGACATCCTTTGGTTTTGGTACAAGCTCCCTTTTATTTGAATGTTTTCCTAAAGTGAAGAAATATTGCTCCCTCTATCAATTGATACAGCATCACCAAGATCAGATGTGACTTTTCCTTCATTTGCATCAAACTTATAAGATAACACTTCGTCAAACACCACATCACGGGAAATAGTGACTTTCTTTGTTTCTGAAACCATACATCTCCATCCTTTCCCGTGAGTGTCATAGCCAACAAAAATACGATGCCTAGCCCTTGGGTCGAGTTTAGTTTGATTATGTTTTTATATATGAACATAATAAACAGACCCAAAAACTCAAAAATAACTTACATTGGGTTTGCGATGGTACAATAACTTAAAAGGAGATGATTCTTTCCCCAGCCATGGAGGCAATCGATTTATAACATGACAAGCTGTCTGAATAGTTCCAGCCCACAGTTCTCTTGGAAGACTCTTTGCATGTAGCCATGACAAGGATACAGATGTTAGATAAGCTAACTTACGCTCAACAACCCCATTTTGTTGTAGGGTTTCTGGACAAGTCATTTGACGTCGAATCCCACGTTCCCTACAATAATTTATAAATTGATCGAACATATATTATCCTCCATTGTTAGTGTGCATGCACTTTGTTGGTAGCCGAAATTCTTTCTTTGCATCCAGCTTAAACTGAATAAATTTGGAGAAAAACCTAACTTTTGTGTTCTAAGAAATAAAGCCAAGTGACGAGAAAAATCGTCCACAATAACCATTACATAATGATAACCAATGCAACTAGGTGTTCTGGTTGGCCCCACGAGGTCTGAATGAACGAACTGTAACATAATAGATGCGCTATGATAAGTGTAGTTTATACACTTATTTGTAACCTTAAATTATGATATTTTATTATTTTTTGGATTAAATTCTAATTAATCTATGTTATATTGTGTTTTGTATGTAAAACTTTATATTTAATGAAGAATTGGAGAAAAAATGCAAAAGTGGTGAAAAATGGCAAAATCTAAAGATGAATTCNAATTGGAGAAAAAATGCAAAAGTGGTGAAAAATGGCAAAATCTAAAGATGAATTCCTTGGAGAGAAATAATATATTAAATGGATTGGAGTTAAATGAGTTTCAATAGACTTACATTGAAAATTTTAATTGGAGACCCAAATTATATATTAGAGAGAAAGGGGGAGGACACAGGGTAAACAAAGAAAAAGAAAAAGAAAAGAAAAAGACGGCTGAAGAGAAAAACGGCACAGGAACAGAGGAAAGAAAGAAAGGAGAAAAAGAAAGAAAAAAGAAGAAGAAGAAGAAGAAGAAGAAGAAAAGAGAAAGAAAAAAGTCAAAGCAGGAAAAGAAAAACGACGGAGAACGAAGAGAAAGAGAAAAGAAAGGAAAGGAAACTGCAAACACCATAAATTTTTATGTTTCGTCAATTTTTGGTAATTTCTTTCCATTTTTGCGCATTTTTATATTTACAATATGAATAACTAATTTTTATATTAGGAAAAACAATTTAGTCGACTTGTGATCCTTTATTTTTCTGTTCAATATTTCTGTGACTTATTTATTTATGTGTTGATTTTATTTTGAGTTTAATGCATTAAATTATCTTATCAATAATTTGATGATTATGTGAGTCTCTTACGGATCGAGAGGTGGGTTTGAGATTTAGACCATATAATAAAATTCGGTAAATTAGTATAATGTGTAGATATACCACACTAATTATTGCGATCATAATATAAATTTTTAGAACTAATGTTTCGTTTAACTAAAATTGATTCGCATAGGGATATGAAATTTAATTAGTTAAATAGGTTCAATGAAAACTCGAGATGAGTAAATTGAATACAATAGAAGAATTCGATCGAACACTACATTATGTTATGAATCTTGAATTAAGAATAAATGTGATCAATAGACGAAATTGTTATTTCCTAATATTCATCACATATTTGAATTTTTAATTATCCATTGTTTGCAAACTTATTATATTTTTAATTAGTTAAAAGTAGTTATGAAAAATAATCACAGCCATCATAATTATTTACTCGTTTTTGTCAAATATGAGTTAGAAAAATTAGATTAAGTCCTAAAGTATAGTTTTCGTGAGAATGATATCCGGACTCAAGGGTCCACTATACAACTTGTTACGATATCGTACACTTGCTATATAAAAAATACAATACTCTATTCTCTGAATTTGGGAAAGCAAGACAATGAGATTTTCCATATTGGCAACCATGACAAACCACATCATGATGACTCTTAAAAATAGGAATACCATCAAGAAGTTTCTTTGTGGAGATTTTCTATAAAAATTGATAACCAACATGCCCAAACGAGCATGCCAAAGTGTTGAGCTTGCATTCTAACCTATGTTCTAAAAAACGTGAAAACGCGCCGCTTAGGCGCGCCTAGGTGCGACGCGCGACCAAAACGCGTCGAATTCGAAAAATGAGGGAAAAATTTCGTTTTCCAACTAAAAGGCGCACCTAATGCGCGCCTAGGCGCGCATTATCCCGCCTAATCCCCCCCCCCCCCCCTTTTTCTAAATCTGTTTTTTTTATATATATTAAAAAATCTATTTTTCTTATATAAAAATATATTTAATGCCTTAAAAATACGAAACGCATTATGACGCTTATTCTTCGCATTGACACGCCTAAACTTGTGATTCTTGATTCTCGGCCTCGACACTTCGCAACACATTACACATTTTAGAACACTGATTCTAACCTGCCTTTTCAACATAATACGTCACTTGCTGACAATACATATAATGATTCTTTTCTTTGTCCAGTAAACATAATATCAGCTACAATATGCTTTACATTAAAAAGAACTTGTATTTCATTTGAACCAAAAAGAATATACCTTCCTATATCTGTTATATGATCAACTGAAGCAAGATTCTTCTTTAAGCCTGGAACATGATAAACATCTTTTAGAAAGATACCTCCATCATTAAAGTTACCTTCTTTAAATTGTCTTTCTTTCATTACATAATGTAATGAATTATCACCTATCACAATGATCATTTTCCCATAATGCGGACGGATATTGGATGGTAGATCGGCATTTTTCGTTGCATGATGAGAACAACAAGAATCAACAATCCATTCCTTGTTGTAGTCAATGAAGCCATTTTCACATGTAAGTGCGTCGATCTGGTGCACAACAGAAGTCACACTTGTTGGCTTATCAACAACCTCAATGGATAAGCACTTTTCCCAATTTGGTTGTTCGGATTCATTATTTTCATGTGCAACATTTGCTCCCATTTCCTTCAAATTAACACCACAATTTGATTTGATATGGCCCAATTTTCCACATCGATTACACACCACTTTCACTCGGCAATCACGCTTGATGTGTCCCAGCTTTCCGCACCTATAACAAGCTATTGAATTTTGCTTGGGTTGTTCCTCAGTTTTGAACTGGTTTCTATCACCTACGGAGTGTTTTGAGAATGAACTCTTTTTCCCTTGGTTCGTAGTGTAAAGAACATCATCTACTTGATAAAGAGGCTATCTGTTGTTTGTCACTTGTTTCACCAAAGCTTCCTGATTCGAAAGCATATTCTCCAACTTAATGATAGTAGGCTGATTTGCTCACCCTTGAATCGAAGAGATAAAGGGCATAAACTCTTTCCAAAGTCCACGAATGAGATAACGACGCAAATAAGCATCGCTCATAGGTTTCTCCGTATCTAATTTTGAAATATAGG